ACGAGATTCTAACAAAAACATATAAAGAACACTTTTTTTCCAAATCAGTATTAAATTAGAATGACAATATATATTAATTGAACTACAAGTAGTTCGGCCCTTTGGACTACTAAAGTAATTATTACCAAAGAGGAATTAAAGGAGTCAGCATTTTTATGAACTATAATAAAATTTCTCGACTATGTGTGCTTTCGATGTAACAAGTGTTGTACAACAAATGTCCAGCAGTCAAATGTATACATGAATTATTTCATTAGTTCAGATTTTTTTAAACCTGGGCAAATTATAATATATATACGAAAGAGTAATATATGATATCATAAAATTTGCAAGAACAGTCCATGTAGTATGCACGGTCATACCGAATCAAGGTTTGGTCTCCATGTGTCATTTAGTGTGTTTTTGACAGCTGTTTGTTTACCACAGCAAAATTGGTCAGGCATTTAATCTTAACATCTCTTGTGAATTGATTCAACACATTCTGGTTAATGTTTTGGGTATTAAACTTGTATTTACTTGACTCGTACCAAAAGACCTGAATGCACCGTCACACGAGAGTCATCGCTTAGTTACCGTATTCACCAAATTTGGCTCGCTGTGCCTTTTTTTTTTGGCAACAACACTTGGCGACATATTCATCTAAGCCATTAAAAGTCATTCGCTGAACTCACCGCAGGCCATCCCAGCCGAGGCTTATTGCAAGTATAACTTACTTATACTTTGGTCTGCTTGACTAAAGAGCCTATTTTAAAGGTGATAATAAAGATTTGTATTAAAATACATGAAAATGTCCGGGTCAAGTTTTATTAGATGTTTAAGCCCAGGGTTCCTAAAATGTGCGAGCTTTAGGTATTTAAAACATCTTTTACGACAAGAAATCTAGAGTCAGTCAATATAAGACGAAAAAAATTTTTTGGTTGCACAGCTGTTAGTATTATGATTGTGTATTATATACATATGTATTGATTTAATCTGCTGTAATTAAGTACTAAAGTCCAGCCAAAGTCCAAATAGTAGTACTCTCAATGATCTCACATTGAGTTTTAATCGGTGATGTTGATTACCGCTAAAGATATACAACACTGCAAGCATATTTATCTGTATCGTCTGTATAAGCTTCGAAAAATAATCTCGAGACAAGCCAAAGACATAAAACAAAACCACAACAAAATGTGTGGCATCATGTTACACATTACAAAAACAATGGCGTAATTAACAATAAAGCCAATATACATATGCAAAACTAATTGCAAAACTAATTTGTGACATTTACAATAATTGTTGTCATAACATGAGCACATTAACCCGCCAGACGGACGGACGTCACATTAAACTGGCAGGCAGAAATACCTATGCGCCAACAGAGTTGCATACGAGTAAGCATGAATAGCTAGAAAAACACCAGGTGCTGACAGCAGTGCTCACGGCAGAAGGGAGGCAGTTGATAGGCATCGAAGCTCAGCTACTCATTCGGCTTCATGCGGTTCAGCGATGAGTGGAAACTTGAGAAGCATTAAGCAGAAAAAGATGCAACAAACGTACTATAAAAAGGCGAGGCAAGCAAAAATAAAATGCACATAAGACTTTAAGTGTAAATAATACCAACAACAGCATAACAATTAAAGCAAAAACAACAATACACTATGCACTATACACAGAAAACAATAACAGTAATCGTCAAAGCTGAACAACTTCCATAATACGCTGAAAGACACCCATAGCATTTATGTATGTGTATACTTAAGGTAGATTGTACCGAGTAGAAACGCCAGCAGAAAAATGTAAGGGTTTTCCCGCCTTTTCATTTAAATTTTTGCTGGATTGAAAATGGTCATTTCGGAATTCTTGTAGGAATGATTACAGACCAAGCAACAACCTGGAGTAAATTGGATATATGACATATGCCATTACGTGGACGGTACCATAAGCTCTTAGCCTCACCGTCCAATGAAGCCACTTTCACAAGAGAAACTATCATATATTATATTCTAGTAGACAGTTACTGTCAAACTTTCGGCTTCGATAGGTTTTTGCTAGCCCATGCCCAGGTGATACGAAAAATGGGACCTTTAAAAACAATCGTCTAAGTTTTCGTATTGGCACACCACCGATTGCTAATCTTAACTGAGATCTGGTGAACCTGCTCCGAAGAATGCGTGATCAGAAAAGTGATGGCCGACGTTTTCTGGTACTCAGAAAGTGTAATTTATATGCACCACCTGGAGAAAGGCAAATCCGTCAAAGGGCGAAACTATGCCGAATTCGATATGACAACACACCGGCTCACACATCCGTTCGCTACATGACCAAATTAGTCGAATAAAGCTCTGAATTGCGCCCCATCTACCGTATTCTTGATCCAGCGTGACTTCTTTTTGTTTAGAAGTTAAAAGTCAATTGCCGTGGAGAAATTTCAGTCGTATGTGGCGGTTATCGACGCCACGGAGTACTACTTTGCAGACCTTAAAACCCGGTTTTCTCAGACGGTTTAAACAAGTTCGAGCAACGTTGAGTCTAGTGTGTTCAGCTGGAAGGTGTGGATCTGTGGATTGGGCTGTTCCCCAACTTGCGTCATCATCAATATTCTTCGGTAATTCTCTTCAAAAACCCTCAATTCAAAAACCAAAAATTCATCTTATGATGCGAGAAGGCTAATATTTGCTTTGAAAAAAAGAAGACCTATTGATCCATGTTAAAAATAAGAACTCAATATTATAATGTTTTCTAGTTAAATGTAGTCATATTTTAATTAAAGGAAAATAATAAAAAAATAGTTTAGGTTTTCCGACTAGGTAAATCTTATTGCAAAGCGAAAATAAGACATAGCACCATTCGATGCTTAGATGCAACAAACAACAACAATCAAGACAATATAAAAACAACAGTGAACAATAATAATAATAATAACGAATGCAATAATAACAACGTCAATGGCACAAAAGCTCCGTGAAGCATGAACCTTCAACTTGCAAAACAAATGTGCCAAATGCAAAGCAAAGTCGGCGAACAGAGGAAAACGAAGTGAAATTAGTGAAAATGGGAAATGCGAAATGCAAATCCGCAAACCGCAGTCGAACAAGAAAAGCACACCAACAATAAACCAAATAAGCAGACGATACAACAGACATACACACACATACACACACACACATTAGTATAGACAGCAAGAGAAGTAGCAACAAAAATCCGCTAGGTACCCGCAATAAAAACAAAAACAAAAGGCAAACTGACAGTGACATTTAGTTCGCCGAGCAGTGAGTGTGTTACCCCACAATATGTCTATTTGTGGACAATGGCGCTGGCGGTTCTGGCGGTTGCGTTGTTGTTGTGGCTTAGGGATGGTGGTGGGCGCTAGAGAATTAGCCACAAATGCCCGCAAAGCAACTGTATAAATGCGCACAAAATACTGTACAAGCTTATAAACGAAACGACAAATATAGAAAAACAAATGCGAAAGCGAAATTAAAACATAATGCAACAAAAAAGTAGAAAAACAAATAAAAACGACCACAAAGTGCATATACTTAAATGGCATAATATGTATGGTATGTATATGAACGAGAGCGGAACTGCGATATTTCTGCCAAATTTAAAGCGAATAGTGAGCATATGGGCAGTAACTATTGATGAGGAGCACTTATGAAAATTATTGAAATTAATTTTTTTCTACAAAAGTGCAAGTAAAATAGTATATTTCTCAGCCACTTTTTTCGTAGCCGACTCTCGAAACAGCCTGATTCTTAACTGATTTGAATTATAGGCGTAGTATCTGACAGGAGTTGAAGAGTTCCAAGGTAAAAGAACTGTGTCGTTGTGAAGGAGTTTGATAAATATATACTACATACATCAAGGAAAGAAACCATCAAAATATAGTTCTGTGGAAGGGCAAGACGAGGTTTAAGAAATAATACCTGCTTTTGTTTTATTGCAGTTGTTGGCAACATTGTACATATTATATAATGAAATGATTTTTAACAATATTTTGTTGGATAGTATCCATCATCTGTTCGATATAATCATAATACTGGATATTCAGGGAAACTGCATATTGGAATGCAGTGCACCTCATCATTCGACATCAAAATCACACTTTAATGACGAATAACTCACCAAGCACTTCGTTTTCAAAATTTATGGAAACAAAGAAAAAATTTAACTTTTTATGCACCGAAGTTTAAACCCTTCTCAGGTGAATTTCTTATAACATATTGAATTTGGTCGGTCTGTAGCTATAAGGTCCAATCTGAACAATATATTCGGAGATTGTACCGTTGTCTTGGAAAATAATCTATACCAAGGTCGCTGAAGATATTTTGTTAAATAAAAAGGTTTTCTATATGCCATAGTGGTCCGATCGCAATAATTTCGGAAATTCTAGGAATACAAATTTAGCAATAGTCTCTGCCAAATTGTGTGAAGATGTCTTGTCACAGAAAAAAGTTTTCCAAACAAGAACTTAATTTCGAATGATCAGTTTATTTTGCAGATATATGCTATAGTAGTCCTATATTAGCGATTCCAACAAATGAATAGCTTCTTGGAGGGAAAAAGAGATGTGGAATCTGTCATACTGATATCTTAAAAACAGTTCGTCACGCTGATTATTCACATATATACTGTGTAGGCTCCGACGTTTCCTTCTGGGTGTTACAAACAAACAAAATTTAGGATATACAATTTATATTTATTTTTCTCTGCGATTTCACTTTACCAAATAGTAGCCCCTTTTTTTTGTGTTAAAGTAACACATTGTTAGAAAGATAACACATTTTATGGTTTTGATTTTACTCATGAATCGATCAGAGTACAAAAAATTATTCAAACAAAGCTCTAAGACAACCCTTTTTGAGGGGAGGACCTGGAGATAAAGATAGAAGCGCCTGCACCATTGTATTAAAATAAAAATTAAGCTTAGAATCCATAGTAATTCCCAAATCTACCAAACTAGTCTATAATTTCTAATACGAATAACAATTTCCACGAATATTTTCTTAACTTACCAAACTTGAGTAGAAGGGTCCACTGTCCACGCTAATGCTTGGATATGGATTCTGCTCATTCGAGGGATAAGGTGTACCGTACACACCCACACTAGTCGTTTGTACACCTGCCGAAGCCGCTACTGCCGCTGCCGATTGCATACGAGCGTAACTACTTAACGCCAAACGGGTTGGATCATATTGGCACGAACAAACCGTTTGACCTGTCATCGGATCTGTCATAACGGGTCGACCATTATCACAGCAAACTGGGGCAGAGGATAGCGCGTGTTGTGCTACTGAAGGTGGTGGTAAACCCGACATTGGATCGACAGTTGAACATGTGCCATATGGTTCCAAGGAAGTGCTGTCGATGCTGCCGCTAGCGCTGACACTACTGCCTGCTGCGCTGGGTGTGCCAGTATTTGATGGTTGCGAGGCGGGATCAGGTGTCAGTGTGCCACTATTGAGGTCGACACCACCACCACCAGCACTGCTAACATTACTGTCGTGCCCATTGGAGGGCGGACTGATCGAGGCAGGTGGATGAGCAGGAGTCGTGGCGGCTAATGGAGATTGCGCAATGGGATGCAGATTGGATAAAGCACCACCAGCCGTTAGATACTGCAAATGGTAAAAAGTATTAAAGAATTTGTAAAGCTTATTTTAAAAAAAATTAATGCGTTAAATAAAATAGTAAAATCTAACTTTTTCAAAAAAATTTAGATAATATAAAAGCTCTTCTCTGGCTAAATTCAAATTGCTGAAATGTGGTATGCATTATTAAAAATTAAAAATTTAAATAATTATTAGAAATTAAAAATTTTATGCGAAGTGGTCAGTTCCACTTGGCGTTGAGGCATATAATGCTATGAATAATCCTCTTTTCAGTTCAAGGTACTATATTGTATATTAGTATAAACATTGAACTTGTAACGCTCGTGGATTTTTCATAACCAATGCAACACTGTTAAGGTCTATTCAACCCGTTAGTAAGTAAGGACTACTCAATTATGGTACACATACTCTTGATATAACAGCTTTACCGATATTTAGTAAGACAAATTTACGATAATGAACAGATTTTTCTAAATTTTTGTTCTTAAGTCGAGCAACCCCTTGCAGCATTGCTGACGTGAAAAATAGTCTTTTAACGTCTCTTGACTTCAACTCACATGACACCAAATTTTTTTTCTATTGAAAGTACTGAAATGGCTGCTTGAGTGACTCCCAAAGATTCTGTGAGCTCTTCTCCTGTTCAGTAATAATTTTCATCGAATAATACTTCCACAAGTTGTTCCTGCTACGCTTCAAATGAAATGAGAAATATTTTATGGTGTTAATACCAGTATTAAATATTTTATTACGAGCATAAACGAAGTAAATAAAGAAGCCTCGTATCCTGATACGTTACAGGTGGGGTAAGTGTATATAATTTGTTTTTTACATAAGTGCTAGGTAGGAGAATAACTCAAGTCAAGTGGTGTTAATGTTTCAAATTATTATTAAAAATATTGTTTAATTTGGAAGAAAATGTTTATGCTAAAATTCTGATTTTTCTACAACGAAAAATTTTGTAAAATTTGTTATTAAGAAAATTATGGAATGAAAGATATATTTTTTATAGTAAAGTAGTCATATAGTCCGAGTAACTTAGTACTTCCTTTCTTCTGATTATTATCATTATCATTTTTATAAAAAAATAACTTAGAGTACACCAATGTTATGTATTACATTTAATTAATAGTAGTTTTTATCGAACTCTCTATGATACTTATCCTATATACATATGTAGTCATAGAATATAGTACTCAACATTCGTTCGAACTGCACAAGATACTTCCTTAGTCCTTGCACAACCTTTTGACCAGTATGCGATGGAATTTATGACTTCCTCACCAATATGCACACAAACTTATATATAGTGTGTAGACCAAAGGCATTTCATTTCTACATATATACCGTATATACAATATCTTAATGTGGCTTTTTCCAGCAATGGTAATAGCAATAAATACACTGTTCCACCATAGTAGTGGTGGTTTGCCAGGGACGTTGCCGTTTTAGCTTTGGCGGCATTTTTCCTTTGAGGGCCTTAAAAATTTGTCAAAGCCTGTCACAAATTTGGTCGCTGATGGATTTACGATATCGGCACAGCCACTGCCACCATGTCTGCCACCGGCACCACAAATATGGTTTTAGCCACTGAGGACGACGTTCAATTCGCTTAACTGCTCAATTGGGGTTGACGGCTCGCTTTGTTTAGCGCTACACTCGCCTTTTGGTCAACAACGGCCAACCGGTGGCCAGTGACCAGTGGCTATAGCGGTTGCTTGGTCACTGTGTTAGTACACATACGGGGCGGTCGCGACATGAGTTGTCGTTGCGCTTACTTTAATTGCTAATAATAAATAAGTAAGCGAGCGAGCGTGAACCGTATTCAAGTGTAAATTATGTGCGAACGTGTAGATTATGAAAATTGTGTAATAAAAGCTAAGCACCAGACAAAAGCCAAGTAAGCGTATGCGCTTAACATATGTAGCTGTAATAAAAACGGTCGGCCATAAACTGAACAAGCGAAAAACAACAACAAAAACATTAAAGCCGAAAACTTATTCAATTTGCAACAATATCTTTTTTTTCATATTTTGTTTTTGTATAAATTAAAAACACATTGTATTGCTAATTTTCAGTCAATATTTTTTTCAACTATTTTTTGCTTGCTTTGCTAATGAGCTACATAACGCTGGCAGCTTAAGTGCAACGCTGCTAAGCTGCTCATAATGGGGCTATAACTTTGACTTTGAGCGCGTCAGGCGAATTTGTTGCTAGTGTGGCAAGTTGCTCGTGTGGTTTTGTTTCTATTGTCACGCTACGTCGAATCGGCTGCAACAACACGATTTAATTGAATTAGTTCTCATTAAAATAATATTCATATAATTGCATTGCAAAACGACGCACTGAGGCGCGAAGTGCCTACCAAGTGCTGCAAATAAAGCGTTGTAGTTGCAAGTCGAAAGCGTTTTAGAAAAACTTCTAAATTAATGAATAGAAGCGGGTTTGTTATACAATCTCATAAAAGACTCGACAACTATAAATGCACTCATTTTTCAAGCTCACAAACTGAACTAATTGATTTCCGCTATTGGAATGACAGTGATGTATTAAGTAATGACAGTGAACCCCGTTGGGTGGGTGCATAGTAATTGGTGGATACATAGTGTGAAGATGCCTTAGAAAAACTAAGTATACAATTTTTGATTGCCATAACATGCATTTTCTATATGGAAACATGCATAATTCATTTCTTTGGAAACGTTTAATGATTTGGAACTTTTAGAATATTTAAAAAGGAGAACTTAAGCGATTATATAAATAAAATAAAAATTGCAAAAATTTGGATTTTTTGTAAAAATATTTTTTAATATCAAAAATGGTTAACTGTTGGTACAATATAACATACAACTAAATATGTTATAATTAACCGCTATTCAAGGCAATAACTTTAACAAAGTTCTTTACTAAGAAATGACCATAACACAACGGCATAAATAATAACGTGAAAAGAGAATCTGAGTCACTCTTAGCCACGGATATTTGGGTTAATTTCAAAGCGGACAAAAACCAGTAGAGATCTTTGACACAAACTTCCTTAATAAAAACAAGGCAGCAAGCCATTGTTGATTAATGAATTTTTACTTCTAACGTCCAAGCATAACCTTACTTAACAGTTGCCTAGATGTACTACAATTTTATCAGATTTGACCCGGTCTAGAACATTTAATATTTTTTCCTAATTTGGTACAACCTTGTTTTACGCTCGTGTCTAATCTCCATATGTCAATTATAATATGTATGGCAGCTTTTTGTTTACGACAAAAGGTTTTTTGTTTGGCTTAAAAATTCAAGAACGAATTTGCTTGAAATTTGGAGTATCTAATGGAATCAGGACTACGGAATCATTAAAAATGTTGCAGAAGTATTTTGGCAAATCTACACTAACGTCAACGAAAACTTACCTTTTGCGAGTTGTTCATCCGCCTCTGTTAAGACGACAACATCGAAACAATAAAAAGAAACAAGTAAGGAAGTTCTAAGTTCGGGTGTAACCGAACATTTTATACTCTCGCAAACTGCAAGGATCAAAGCACGGGAAATTAGTTCAGGTGTTGGCAAAATTTTATATTATAGGAAGTATTGATCCGATTCAACCCATTTTTGACACAAAGACATACTATTATCCAGAGTTTCATTTATTTATTTTATTATATGAATTTCAATTATATATATTACAAATTGACCGATGTTTTCGGTAAAAAGTCAACTATAGGTACTAGGGTCCACATATTCATTACCTAGAGGTTGAACAGTTTTGGTTCAATTTAGATCATTTTTGGCATACATTAAACGTATTATTCACAAAGTTTTACGCCGATATAGTCATTGTTGCTTGATTTGTGGAAAGTGAAAGAATCAGATGGAATTTAAAATGGTGTTATATGGGAAATAGGCGTGGTTGTAATTCGATTTCGACCATTTTCGAACTTTAACATAGAAATATAAAAAGAATGTTATGTATCGAATTTGGTTGAAATCGGCTGAGCAGATTCCAAGATATGGGTTTTCACCTAAAAGTGGGCAGTGGCACGAAATTTGAAGTCGGTTTCTATAAAATCATCTCATACCATCCCAGGTATAAAATTTAATGTCTCTGGCGTGTTTAGTGCTTGATTTATCGCGCTTTTAGTAGTTTTAACAGTACCGTTATATGGGAAGTGGCCGGGGTTGTCACCTGATTTTACCCATTTTCACACCGTCAATAGGGGTGCTAAAAAAAAATTTTCTGAGTGAATTTTTTTATTATAGCTGTAGCGGATTCGGAGATATGCACATTAAATCGATTAGGGAGCGAGACCACGCCCATTCTTTAAAAAAATTTAAACTGCAGATGTAATCCTGCATATCAAATAAAATTTTTTTATTTTATTTTGGAGCTTAGTTATGGCATTTGGTCCGATTACGCTCATCTGCCATTCCAACCGTCTTACGGCACCAAGAAACAGGTGTACCAAATTTCATAAAGATATCTCAATTTTTACTCAAGTTACATCTTGCAAGGACGGACGGACGGACAGGCAGTCACCCGGATTTCAACACGTCTCTTCATCCTGATCATTTATATATAATATATATAACCCTATATCTAACTCAATTAGTTTTATGTGATACCAACAACCGTTAGGTGAACAAAACTATTATACTCTGTAGCAACAAGTTGCAAGAGTATAAAAGTCTTCGTATTGGCATCAGAGAGATAGCAAAGGATCTCATCATTTTTTATGGATCGACTCCACATATTTAATGAAGGCTTTGAGTAGAAAGCGTGTCAGTGCTAGACTCCTACCAAAAGACCTGAATGAATCTTCCAACGATGCAAATACTGGCTACTCTTTGTATGCTTTCCATACGTCTAACTGCGTATTTCTTTTCCGTTATTGGCCACCATACCAATTACCGTCAGTCGTAATCGGCCTTACAATTGCTTTGTGTGACAGTGAGCTACCCGAGGCGTTAGTCCCCATCTGGGCCCCACCATTCCTTTACACGTGTAAAGTGCTATAGCT